AGAAAAGGTGTATCTGAAAGTCTTTGCAAGAACATAATTTTCAGAGATACTGAATTTGGCACATGACTTAGGGGAAAAAAAACTCCTGAGTCTCTCCATTATATTTTTATATTATTAGTGGTGAAGAGGTTTCTAAACTGTTGCATTTGCATGTGTGTGTTTCCAGCGAAACGTTCAACTCAGATTGAAATGGGATGATTCCTTTAACTCACTGACACACTGTCTCAACCACGAATCCATTTGTCACAAGTACAGTCATTATATTAATGTTTACTTAATGTGGGGTTTACTAAACTCTACATTAAAGGATTAACAAACCTTGTTTAGACTGGTTAACAAAGCCAGAAATATCCTACTCAAATATTTTACAAAAAATGAGAAAGTAGTCATTGATGTCATGGTTTCTGCTTTGTTGCATGGTGGAAAAGCAGATCTGATGCAAACTCTGAATAAGTTACTGCAATGACAGTATGAAGCAGGCTAATATAGAAAATGCACAGCTTATAAGCTAGTATCTGCTATTTATTAGAGAACTTGTCTACAGATACAGAAATGTGTGATTCCTGTGAATAAAATTTGGTTTCAAAAACTTGCCAGGGTTACCAGGAGACTAGCTATCCTGCAGAAATGCTTAAGAAAGGTATGTATTCTCATTATAACATACAACTTAGTGCAAGCTTTCAAATAAAAACATTCTTTAAAATATATTATAAACAATGTCTGTAGTTAAATCTGTGGGTTTCAAATTTACATGTGGAATTCCACTATAAAGAATTTGTCAGATCTGGGCAGGACTCCTCTAGGTTTTACCAGCTATATTCCAGAATATGTCTCTGACTTTCCCCTGCACTTTGTGGATCAGCATCAGTTCTGGTTTTTCTCATGTAATAATTTAACTGTGATACGATCTATTAATTTTGTCTTTAGGATGGAGGTGCACAAGCCAGCTACCAGTGTAGCCTGCAGTGAACATAAAATAACTTCCTTTTAGCAACCTACAGGTGAGAGTGTGCTTTGAAGCAGTACATCCATGAAAGAGGAACTTGATGATTCTTAAACAAAATTCACCATGGATACAGTTTTGGCAGCTAAAATATTATACATGTGCTGTTTGGAATGAAAGTTTTCAGGTGTTGGTTGCATTAGGAATAGTCTACTCCATGGTAATTTCCTTGTTTGACCAAACATTTAGTGGTTATAGAATACAAGCAGAAGTAAACTATACGATAACCAGAAAAAGTTTGGTGAAATCCCAGTAGGACCACAAAGCAACAGAAGGAGAAAGGGCACATTTAAAAGAAGTGGTGATGCTGACCATTTGCATGTATGATTAGTACAAGCTTATCTCATATTTTCTCCTGGGGTTAAGTGACAATGAGAAGCAAGAAGGGTATTAATAAGTGTATCAGAGAGGCAAAAGGACAATTGCAGAAGTTCAGCAGGGGGGAAAGTAGGCAAGGTCTGATAGTACTAGAGCATAGTCTAATATATAACTGGAGGAAGCTGGAATTTTTTAGATACAGTACCCTTGAAAATGGTATGCTTCAGACCTGTGGTTCACAGACTCTGGTCTACAGACATCTTGTGGCAAGTTCTCCACAGTCATTTCTGACTTTCAGTTAGGAGCTTGAGAGTGTGCGATGGCTCTCCAGTAATTCTGAGGATTGACACTAGTCAAAAGGTTGGTTTGTTCTTTTGCATATAATTATTGGGAGACTAAAGAGTGACTAAAGAGTGTTGTTAAGGGCTTTGACAAGATGTGGGGGCTTGGGGGTGTGGTGTGATTGGAGGGCAAGGAATAAGGTTACGAAATTTGTTCTGTTAAAAGAAAGAAACCTTCCAACCTTTTTTCCAACAGGAAAAAAACCTGTTGAGTTGCAGAGTCTTGTCCTGGTTTTTCCATTCTAGCATTTTATCTGCACGTGCATGAAGAAGATACCTGTAGTGGTGCCTGGTAGTTTTTAAGCAAAATTTAGATCTGACATCCGGTTCTTATCATCACTAGTTCTGCTTACAAGCTCTGGAGGTTTTAGACAAAAGCACTCCTGACACAACCGATTTGTCTGCACTGCTCATTTATTTTCTCACAGGACACAGTGGTTAAACCACGTTGTTGTTCATAATTTTACAGTGATGTAGAAATGTTTGCCCTAGGATCTGAGCCATAACCTCATAAGGTGGGAGAGGATTGTATAACAGCACCATGACAAAGCAGTTCAGGACTGCAGGATGTTGGAGTGGTTCCTCACAGTAAATGATTTGTTTTTAAATCATTGCAACAGCCATATGCTCTAGAAATTTCCATCCTTTTGAACATTTTTTTTTCTGAAGGGAGGGGAGCAGTAGGAGAGAAACTGAGTTCATATATTTCCAGTTATTTTCAAAATTACCAATTAGAAGTTTGTCAGTTAGTATTCCAGTCCTAAGAAAGAGCTTTTCATTTCCATGTTTGACACAAAGAGAATTAGAAAAATATTATACTACTATATTACATATTTTATTTACAACACTGCTTGTTGGAATTTTAATGTTGGAAAATAATTTTAGTGGTATCCGTGAGGAAGCAAACTGGTTTTCTTCCATCTCTTGATTTTTGCCTCATTCAATGATACATGTGTAAATTAGCTCCTATAGTGAAATCACAATACTGATTTTGGTGTTTTCTTGCCAAGACATGTATATCACAAACATGCACTCTTAGATTAACAGCAGAAGCCATAGAAGGTCAGGTTGTATTAAAGAGGGAACATGAAAAATGTCCTTCTAGGTGAACTGATCCTGTATGATTGTCATCATTGGGATGCTGCAGAAATCATTTTGGGTTAAAATGTTTCAAGGGCTGTAATGCAGCTAAATCATATTTAGCAACAAGGAGGAAATTTGAAAACTCCAGCCTTGATTGCTGTAAAATTATCTGAAGATGAAAAGCCCAAATAATAATTGCAGCGTATTTTAGATCACATCCATCCTGCTGCTGAGAGAGCATCACTAACTACCAGCTTGCTCAAAGTCGTGTCCAGTCACATATTCAGTGTCTGAATGTCCTTCAGTGCAAGGATGGCAGCCTCTTGGCAGCTCATTGTGGTGTTTTATCTGGTTTGTTATGAGAAGAATCTTCCTGATCTCTAATAATTTTCTGTGTTCCCATTTAAATCCATTATCTCTTGTCCTGTCCCCTCCAGGAAGAGTGAGGCTTCATCTCCTCTATTTCCTCCTATAAAGTAATTAAAGAAGCCTCCTATTTTTTCAGGCTCAACCAGCCCAGTTCTCCCAGACTTTTCTCATACCTCCTGCCTTGTGTTAATAGTAGGTTATTCTACTTGAAGTGACAGAAATATGCAACCTCTTCAATTCCACTTCAGAATTTTCCGTGCGGGATACTGTGCTTTAAATGTTTGTCTCTTTATATTCTTCTCTTCATGTATTAGCATTAACATAGTTTTTTTCATGCAGTATCATAAAACGTGCTGCCTCTGCCTGGCAAGAGCCACTCCTTCTCTCAGAAAAGTTAATGTGCTATAATAATGTTCTGCTGAACTTCTGCTTTTTGATAGATTTTTTTTCCACACACTAGAAGTCATGTAAGGAGTTATTACTGAGTATCAAAACCAAAAATTTCCAAAGAAATATGAAATCATTTAAGATCAGTAGCTCTCATTGCAAAGAAGACATTGTTAAAGAGCCAACCTTAAATATAATAAAATAATAAATATGGAGAAAGCGCCTCTATAATAAACTGGCTGTTTAAGTATTAATGTAGCATGTTTCATGTAGTGATTTATGAATGATGAGTCAGACTTGGAATTCAAAACTTGTTTGACAAAAAGAGCAAACAATATGAAGATTTTGCATGATTAAATTGCTTATTGCTTAAGCTTAATTCACTGTTAGCTTTTGTTAAATTAATCCAAGAATAAAATCAAATCCAGATTCAAACCCTGGACCTTCTTTATAATGATCTGAGTGGAGTCAAGTAGAATCTTCATTCTCTAGCCTCAAGGTGCTCATTAAAATTAGTTTTCAGTGAGAAACCATGCAGTTATGAAGGGATTGAATCAACAGCTGGCATTTTTACAGTGAGCTTTGAGCTTTCATTTAAGGCGTTTAATTTTAGTGCATTGCTGATGATTTAATATGTCTAGCTGTGCATAATTTACTGACTATCATATCTAACATAGGTCTGGCTAGCCTTTTTATTTTTCTGGAATACAAGTATTTCACAAAGCTCAAAATGGGGCTTTGTCTACCTAGTATGCTGGGAGGAGAAATGCTGTCACTCCATTTAGGGTCTGCTCCAGGTGTGAGTGCCCAAGGACAGTGGCACCCAAATGACTTGGAAGTGAAGCATCTGATGCATGGCTGGCAGTCCACTTTTCAAGACTCTTGACCCAGCTCTTTTATAGTCCACTCTAGGCTACCACTAGAGTGTCATTGCTGCCTGAATGGTCTTTGTGAGGCCTGCTGGGCAGATGTGACATTTTGCCTTGGTGGATTTCTTTCCTTTCTTGTGTGTGTGTGTGTTTGTAGGTGCTTAAGGACCTCGTTGCAGGATAGTATATTAAAAGGGCTTTGTCTCACACTGCCCTTTGCACACACAATCATGTAGTATGTTTTAATGTTCATTGCAATTTCTTATCTAGAATGGTAATGTTAAGGTAAGGTATTCCATTTATTCTTACACAATTTATTTTATAACTTGTGTTTTTAAAAATCATATATCCTCTGGAACTTGAAATTTCCTGAGAAGTTGAAGAAAAGCTAGAAAATTTGGTTTATATTTTGTTAATTCTTTGCTTGACTGTATGCAGGTTTTAATTTTATAGATTTTTATTATGTCTCCTTACCTACTGATTTCTCTACAGTAGTACCTAGTGACACTGTTTATGTGTTTTATTTTCTCCCATGCATGGATTTTGTACATACAGGATGGCGTAAATGTCCTATTCCCTCTGGTCACATTAGAAAGTAGACTGATTATTCTTTTTTTTTATTTTTAATAGACTCAGAACCGTATGAAGCTGATGGCTGACAACTATGAGGATGACCACCTCAAATCCTCATCCCATTCCAACCAAACCAACCATAAGCCCTCCCCTGACCAGGTAACGTGTGTCTCTTTTTTGTTTTTAAAGTAATTTTTACTATGGGAGCTGATTATTTTGAGTCATATGTAATTTTCCCTGACATGCTTGCAGTACCTTGGAACAAAAACAGCATTCCAGAGTGCAGTTATAAACCAGAAATGGATGTTGCTGTTGTGTCAGCTTTGCTGAAAACTCCTGAAATGTGAACAAACAGTTCCTAGTACCAAGCTGTTATTAAGTGGGTGGAGATGAGGGGGCAGACAATGAAAAGAAGGAAAGAAACATTACTCTCTTAAAATGCAAGACAGGAGTCCTGTCTGGAATATTCAGGTTTTAGTAACTCAGGTTTACTGCTTAAGTGTATGGAGTGTCCAGGAATGTTTTCTGTCTTCAGTAGCAGGAAATCATGCTCCAGGATCAGCTTTCTGATCTATGGATTGTATATGAGCAGTTCCCTTCATTTCCCATGAGGAAATCCCAGCCTCTGTGCCAAATGAGCACAGACTGCTCCCTCACAAACTCAGTGGGCCATGAACTGAAGGAAAATCAATTTACCATCTCCAAGGCAGTGAGGAGCCTCCTGTGTCATTTACAAAGCACAGCCATGTGCTTGATAACTATCAGAAAGTTCACCTATCCCTTGGGTAATACAGAAAACGCCAGCACAACTGCATATCCCATGTTGTAATCTCATTCATTCCAGTTTAATTAAAATATTAGGGATCATTAATCACTGCCTTGACAAAGTGAAGGAATGTTTGGTGCTCCTCTGCCCTCTGGCTCAGCTAGAAATTGTTGAGATCTGAAGCAAGGCATCTCTAGACCTTTAAGCACCAACTTAGTGATATGCAGAAATTTTGAGTAACGTGCAAGAGGAAAACGGAAAAAAACAATTATGTACTCATGCTACAAAAACAGATCTTTAAAAATCTTTTTTCATGTCTGTACCAGAAGACAATAAGGGTGTATATACAAAGAAATGAACAGAAAAATTCTAAAGTAATTTCCTTTTGCATCTTGTTTTAATACCCTTCTCCAATGTAAATTGACTTGAATTTTCTGCAGTGTTTTTGGAAAATGTTGGGTTTACCTTCTTCAGGAGAGTGCAGTTGTTAATACTGCAAATTAAATGGCTTTTCTAATCTTAATTTGGATGAAATATTAGAATAGCTGTTGTTTCTACATTGCAAATCTATAGAGAAATGAAGCCATTTCTAAAATGCAAGCGTAGTACATGCTTGCAAATGAACGCGGCATAGCATGTTCAAATGAAATGAAATTAAAATGAAATGAAAAGATAAAATGTCAAGAAAAGATTACATTTAAACATTTAAGGAAATTCTTGCAACGACCTTGCTGGGGAAGGTGATAGGAAGGAGGGTGTGGGAGGAGGGTCTGATTGTACTTTCCGTTTGCAAAGGAGCATTTTAGAAGCTGGTAAAGCCTACAAGAGAGAAAGCAAACTGTACCTCAAGGTGGCTCAGAATATTGCATAAGGAATTAAACACTTTGTACTCCTATTTGTACTTACATATGTGCTTTAAATACTAACCAACTCTTTATTTCATTCCCATGCTGCTCTGGGGCTTTTCTCTCATTGCCACCTCTGCACCCCTAGGATGAGGAGGAGGGTATTTGGGCATAACCAGTCAGATGCTCTTAGTTCAGCCATTTTGTTCAGAACGGTGAGAATCAACTTTTCTTGCCAATAGAAAAGTTTCCCCAGTCACTCTCACATGTCACTCCCGTGTGCTTCGTGAAACCTGGGTGTGCTTCTTCCCCCTTGCTTGTGTGTCTCTGCATGAGGTTGTTTCTTGTGTGTTTATGTGTAGTTTGCAATTTTCTTCTTCTAATCATCATGTCATTCTTTCATGATGTTGTGGGGAGAACTTTCCAGGGCATGTAATTGAGTTTCTATGCAAAGCAAACTCTTAATGCGTACAAGAGAACAGGAAATGTCTCTCATATCATTTATCATTGACTTCATGGAGGAAATGTTCTCAGTCAGATTCTTTTTCAAAGCAGTTTGCACTGTAGCCAAATCTGTGTATGCTTTTTCAATTCTGGTTAGTAAAGAATTTACTCAGAGATAATGTTCCTCCTGAAGATAATGTTCCTCCTGAAGGTTTTAAGCATGTTGAGATCTGCTGCCGAGATTGCTGCCATGCATGCTGACCTAACTAGTCACAGACATTTATCGACTCAGAATAGATGACTCTTGATATGGACTGTAAATTTTCTGTAAATTTGAAGACAAAGAGGAATATCCCCTTAACCTTCTCCTCTCCCTTCCATATCCCTTGTTCTCTCAAAACAATTGGGGAGAAATTGGTAGCTATTTGTCATTTAAAGTACATTTTGTTTCTCTGTGTCTGCATCCACAGTTTTCTCTTTTCTGCTGTCAAATTGTCCCCACAACAACCCACATTTTCAGAAGAGAGGGCAGTACACAGGACAGACCCCTTTACCACACACCTGTTCTGTAACAGAGACATCCTTTACTGACCAGGAGCCTTGATATAGAGCTACAAAAGTCAAATATCAATTATCATGCTACAGTACACAGGATTCATTTATGCATTGTAGTGTCAGTTTAAAAGCAGAATATATTTATTTGAAGTACTTAAAGTATTTTAAGGAATTGAGATGCGATAACCCTATTTTAAAAAATTATATGAAACTTTTTCTTTCTTCATTTACGCTTTTAAAGAAAAATATTTCACATTAGTTTCTTCGCAGTTTTTCTCAGAATTTGTTTTTTTCTGTATCAATTATTTGAAAGAAAACACTTCTGAAAAATTCTGTGGAAATTTTGGACCCTTTCATTTCTGGAAATTACTGCTTTAGATTAGATTTGTAAAACATTCATGAAAGAATAAGCTGCTGTCTCATCTCTTTGCACTTGCTCAATTAACTGCAGACTTACATGTCTGTCTGACTGTATAGATCAAATCCCTCTTTTCAAGTCAGCCATCTGAAAAATTTAATCCAACTGTGGCAGCGTTAAACTTGAATTCCATGCCTTGGGGTTTGATCTGAGAAAATCACTTTAGTGGAAAAATTGATAAAGTGCTTCATTAATTTACACTCGCTGTTGATTTCACATACTTCTCGAATCACCACTCTTGCAATAGTTGTGTGTTAGTGTATAATGTTAGAAGTTTTAGAGATAATGCTTGTAAAGATCTGCTGAAGCACAACAATTAAACACGAAAGATCAGGTAAGTAAATGCTGAAAAGGAAGAGGACACTCACTGTGAAGGTAGGAATAATTCTGATTTTCATTCTAGAGCAAACATGGAGTGTGTAGAAAACACTGATACAAAGGTCTTTCTCCTTTTCCTATCTTATGAATGCAACTGTGCTAAGAGTATGGTTTCTCTTAGATTTGTGAATCGATGTGTTGTTCACATTAAATACAGCATCTCTCTCCACTTTGTACTTGAGGCATTTTCCTCAGAAAAGCATGTTACAGAATATCCTAGTCAAAATCATGAGGCAGTCATGCATCCCATCTGAGAATCATGTCAGCCTCAAGATTGTCTTGCATACATCAACAGGGAAAGCATAAAGGTAACTGGTGTCTCCCAAGCCAGTTATTCCAAAAAAGTACAGGTTTTTACCATGATTATTCCATGTACACTCAAAAAAAAAAAAAAAAAAAAAGAAAAAAATAAGTCCTTATTCTATTTGTAAAAGCAAAGGTGCTGTAAGTCACAGAGTCTTTAACCTGCATGTGTTAAATTAAATGTATTACAATGATAGAAAAGTGACTAATAGCGTAGGACTTGGTGGTAACTTTGTTTTTTAAAGTTCCTGTAGGTCTGAGGATGTAGTCACCTCTGGTCAATACTGAAGGTAAAATAGAGACCATCGGAATATCTACAGTAGCAAGCTCTGTTATTTTTTTTTTAGGTTTTGCAGTTTAAGGCTTTTCCCCTCCAGCATTCTGGAACTGACTGAATTTAATATTTAATTACACTATTCTGTACATGACAGCATTATCAGATATAACTCCCCTGAAATGAAGCACTGTTTCTAAACATATGCATCCTTCCTGTAGCTGCAGAAAATGGTAGTTTACATTTCAGTTTACAGTTCAATGTAAATACCATCTTTTATCCTGAAACAGCCTTTCCTAGCCTTTTCTTGTAGCCTCTTTTCCTTGCTGTCTGAATTTCTTATGACTCTCTCTATTCCCCAGATGGAGCTCTCTCCTCCTCTATATCCAGTCATATTCCAATGTGCTTTCTTATGAGGATGCCTCTTTGTCTTTCTCAAATACCAAAATGGTCTGGCCAATGGCTTAGTTAGTTATTGTTCGTTTTATCAAAAATACTATGAATTTACACTTTATGAGATTTAATGCATATGAAAGGATATGTGTGGATTCATATGTATCTTCTTGTAAATATGTACCACGTATGTGCTGTGTCGGGTAAAGAGGCAAAGATGCTCAGTTCATCTGGTTTCCTTGTGAGGAAGTGTGAGTAGGTTCAGAAATCTGCTTGTGCCACCTCTGCCCGTAAGAAATGAGGAGGACTGCTTTTTTTGAATGAGTGTAGTAGGCATAGGATCACAACAGACTGGGAAGAATGAAAGACAATCAAATTAAAGGACATAGGGAAAAGCAAGGACAGAATAAAAGTGTTAAGGACAAGAAGAGAGGAAAAGCAAAACTGAAACTCTCGAGTGCTGAGAGATTTATCCTGGTATGTAATTTATACATACCATACGTGCGTTTTTAAGTATGCATGCTGTTGCAGAGCGTTTTTCTTCCCATCTTCCATGGCTCTGGCTTGCAGGAGGAGTTGGAGCTAGTAGATGCTGTCACTGGACAAGTTTTTTGAACTCATTCTGTGGAAGCATTTTCTATTAGCGGTTGCCAACAAATCCTGAAGTTATGGATCTGCCTGCTAAGGAGCAAAACATGGCTTTGCTGTGCTCAAATTCCAGCATCAAAATCTGAAAATTAATTTTATGCTTATTAGAGTAACAGTGGAATGTTCAAAGAACTC